CCCCCCCCCTTCTCCTCATCGTGGCGTTCTTCATTGGCTTCTCTCTCTTCGCTCATCCCCCACTCCCTCCCTCCCTTCGGCTGCTAGAGGAAGTACTCCGGCGGGGGCTGCTTCGATAAGTGCCCGCGCGTCTCAGCTGGCGCCGCGCCGAATGTGATGAAGTTACGGTCCGTCCGCGACTGCTCGCCAATCCTCATGATGGACGCAACGTTGCCACAGCGGTAGCAGTAGTTCGGCGCCGACCACACCGTGCAGCAGTTGTTGTCGAACATAGACTTGTAGCCCTCAAACACGAGCTGGTGCGCGCGCGCGATGAGGCTGAGACCGTTCTTGTGGTTGAAGGCCTTCGTGACATCGGCACCGAAGATGAAGCCGGCGCCGCGCGGACTCACGCCCCAGCCGTCCATGTCTTCCGGGTCCGACCACAGCAGGTCGCTCATCGCGCCGTCGTGCGGCACCTCCTGCTTGCGGTCCAGCACGCGGATCTCATCGAGTGTGTTGATCTGCGGGCTCAAGCCGCCGTGTACGCACAGAACATCGTCCTCCACCACAGCTGATAGTGGCATATAGTCGAAGAGCTCTGTGCAGAGGCGCCACACATTGGCGCTGCCGTACTTGCGGTAGCACTCGTCGTAGAAGCCGTATACCTGCGTGATTTGCCGCGACTCGTGGTTGCCACGCAGGAGTGTGACGCGGTCGGGGTAACGCACCTTTAGAAGGAGCAACAGCAGAAGTGTCTCCACGCTGTGGTAGCCGCGGTCAACGTAGTCGCCCATGAATATATAGCTGGTCTCCGGTATGCGTCCGCCGTGGCGAAAGAGTTCTAGCAGATCAAAAAACTGACCATGAATATCGCCACACAGCGTGACAGGGGCGTAGACCACCTCAATGTTGCCCTCCTCGAGGAATAAATCCTTGCAACAGTCGCACAACTGCGCCACCTGCCGCTCTGTGATGAGTCTACACGCGTAGAGCGACTCTACCATGTCATTCAAGTCCGTCATTGTGCGCCGCCCCACCCAGTTCCCCTCCTACTTCTCTCACCCCTTTATATAAAAAAGACTACGGTGCGTCGCGCCAAGAGACGCGTGGCGCAACACGCACAGGAAGAAGTAGAAAGAGGAAAGAGAGAGAGTGTGTGTGTGTGTAAAAGGGGGCCACAGTGACGCGCGCCAAACACAACAAGAAACAGCAGCAGCAGCTTACGGAGAGGGGGGGGGAAGCAACAATCCACCCGCAGAAAGCTGCTGCTGCCGCCGTCGCCGCAAAGCCGCAGGCCAACAACAGGTAGAGGAAGTATAAGAATCAAATCACCAGCAACAATGCGGAGTATGAGCTCAAAACCATATACATTCTTAACAAGAAGTGCACGCCACACCACACCACACCGCGGCTCACTGCTGCGGCCGAAAATGAATGGATGTGCTGTTCACACAGTGCCGCTCATTCGGTGGCGGGTTTCGGAACCCCTCGCCGCGGAAGACGTGCCCCAGGTGGCCGTTGCACGCGTTGCAGAGAATCTCCGTGCGGGTGCCGTCGGCGTCGGCCGCCTCTCGTACCGCCCCCGGCACGCAGTCCCAGAAGCCCGGCCAGCCGCAACCGCAGCGGAATTTCATCGCCGATGTGTACAACAGCGACCCACACGCCGCGCAGACGTAGTCACCAGGCGCGAAGTGGTCGTCGTACGGCCCNGAATTTCATCGCCGATGTGTACAACAGCGACCCACACGCCGCGCAGACGTAGTCACCAGGCGCGAAGTGGTCGTCGTACGGCCCGAAGCGCGGGTCAGTGCCCTTCTCGCGCAGCACACGGAACTGCTGCGGCGTCAACTTCGCCCGCCACGCGGCGTCGCCGATGTCCTTCGATCCGTCGGCCCCCGCTTGTGTGGCGCAGTGCGTCATGCGTCGCTGGCTATCTGTGAAGAGCTGGTGGCGGGGAAAAGACGCTGCGTAGCTGGAAGTAGCAGCAGCAGCAGCAGCACGCGCACCCCACAGCTGCCCGCAAAGCACTCGCCTTAGCATGAATATGTACTGAAAAGCGATGATGATGATGATGATGTTGTTGTTATCTCTTCGCACCTCCCTCCCTCGGCTTCTCAAACACACACGAGTGGGGGGCGTGTGAGGCACGGGGTGGCAAACAGGAGGGGGGAAAAACACACACAGGCATAAAAAAAAAAA